TAAAAATGGAATCGAATAAAAACCTCGAAATTTGAACCGATTATAAAAAATATCTTAATGCATCTTAACATTCGTTTAGCAAAAAAAAAACATTACATTTGCATGCGCTGGCTGTGCTAATGGAAACGTTGCCTTCTAAAATAACCTTGTTGAAGGGCAAAAAACACTACCAGATTGATTACAAAAGAAATCAAAATCGTCAGAGTTCTAAATACCGAAACAATGCGATCAGCTTCTTTGAGCCGCTATGTAACTGATTTAGAAATCATCTTTAAAGAGGACTAAATAAGAACTGGCCTAGACAACGGTATAACAGCCAAATAAACTCACCACAGAACCATTCTCGGTGCGGCCATCACCATGAGATCATGTACTGGGAAGGGGACGTATTTCAACGTCCTACAACCGCATTTATGCTCGCAAGATACATAATCCTCACCGCACACACGAAGAAGACAAATGCAGACAAAATTTTCGTCACAATGTAAGAAGAATCCCCGTTTTATCCATTCAAACAAATCAATGAATGGATTTGAAAGAGCGGATTCAGTAGTCTTTCTGGGTTGGCAGAGTAAAAAACCCGGAACAAAAGATTGCGGATGTAGGAACAAAAATCGAAATGCAAACGAGATAAAACGATACGATTTGAAAAGAATCTCAGGCCAGACAATCGAATGCTAGAAATCCTTCATAAATACAACCTACAGTATTACGGATGATTTAAATTTAAAATGTTGGCGTACATGGCGCAACATACATCCAGTCAACGGTTTATCCCAGCGCCCTCCTGCAACACGCTCACGGCGGTTCTCCAATGCAGAGGATGTTTAGATAAGGGATATCGACATAGGGGATTGTTATTTGCGCGACTAAGTCAACGCTAGGCATTCTCAAACCAAATAGGATGGATTTTGTGTGCTCAAGGATTGGTGCAATTAAAAAACCAGTGCATTAGTGCTGGTAGATAGGGTGCGTTGTCAGAGTGACTGAAACTAGTTACTGTAAGTATACTCGCCTAAAAATAATTTTGATGAGAAAACATTTTGTGAATTGATATGAGAAGTTAACCTCTTCTTGATAACTCTATAAAGAAGACAACACTTTCATTCTCTTGACAAACTGACCGGTCCTGGAAAAAAGTATCTTCAAAGGGATGTGCCGGAAGAAAAACAAAATACATAACCCTGTCCCCCAAATTTTCAACCAAAAATGAAACTATGTTGGCAGGCACATCCTGTGGTAAATCAGTGTATGAATGCGTAGACACTTTGGCCTTTACAGCATGTTTTTTAGATATAATGTCGAGCCACAATTAAAATACATTCCTCAGACGAATTAGCCCAAACTTCTCTAAATCTAGCATAAAAACATACGATGAAAACATGAAAACCAATGCAACAAGCATGATCTAGAAGGGTCCCATGAAGGTTTTAACAAAGACCTTTCACTGTGTCGTCAGCGTTGCGACTGTCAATCATTCTTGAATCTAAACAGAGATCAGAAATATTCCAGGGGTCTGGAGACAAGTCTCTAAAAATAACATATATTATTGGACATCCAAAGAGAAGCGCTTCATTATTCAACCATCAGCCTTGACTGCCTGAGGTATATCAGAACCAAAGCAAATATGTCGCGACATGCCCGTTTGTTCAGGCCAATGATACTAATACAAGCAGGGCTGAAACATAATACGTAGATTAATAGAAAGGTGAAGTTCGTCGCTATTTGAAAACCTAATCCACAACATATGCTAAGCAGATTCAATTCTGCAAGAAAATTTTCCATATGGTAAAATCGTTCCAAATAGCTTTAAAAGCCCTGCATGCCAATGCTAAGAGAACTGGACACGTCGAGAGTGATGGCTCCTCACAATGGCAGGGCTATTGCTACTCCTGCTTTATGTTTTCCTTTTATGGAAAAAAGAATCCCCTGCAAAATCTGCAGGTATATGTTGCTGAAATTTATTTGTCTTTTGTCTAAAGAATAATGAATGGAATAAAAGGTGTTACAGTAAAAGGTTGGGGAATTTCGCGACGAGAGATTGAAAGGGGCAGGTCTACACTGGGGCAAATTTTTTATGTGCCAAACTGATGTTTCAATATGAATGAACTATCAGCAATAATGAATGGTGAAAACAATACCTCGCAGAAAGAGCTGAACTGACGATGGTGACAAAAAGATAATTCCAGACGCTTCTCAACACCTAGGCAATGACCCATGTTGAGGTCACTCTAGCTACTTACCCACAAAGTCAAACCACTCTTTTTTAACACGTTACCAAAAGATATTTGATGAATTGAAAACAGGCATCATTGTGGACACAATATTGTTCAGTGCCTAAGTCAAATGCAAGATTAAGGATCTCTTACATTACATTGTCAATTACAGTACATGCAACTCGGCAAAATTTTGTCAGGCACAAAAAATATCTACAACAATTTTCAAGTAAAATAACTGTTCTCTTAGTTTACCCCTCTTTTGGTTTATTCTCTAAGTTGTGTTAAAAACACCATCTCCTTAAGTCTTCTAGGACTGAATAAAAATTTCTAGGACAGCTGGGGTAAGCCAATTAATTATAAAAAACGGGTGTATCACTGAAATGATGAAAAAGTGGGTGTTACTCCACCCCAGCCCAACTTTAAGCTTCAAGTTTACCAAATTTATAACATCTGCCGCACTTATCCACAAAAAATTTACTCTCGAATTCTTGGCAGTTTTGTATAGAAAGGTTGAAGTGAAGCCTTATACAGAGAAATGCGTTAATCTGATAAAATGCCGCGTTTTTAAATGTCTCCATGAATGACCGCCCCATTTATAAAGTAAGCAATTCAAAGGACGCCCCTTTTTGAAACGCCTCCTTTAAAAGGCCCCAATGTAAATATTACGCTGGTTATTGATTGAGTAAAATCCCGGTGGCAATGGCCTCGAAGTGAACTGATTTCATCTTCAATGAATTCATACGTTCTTTGATTTGCTGTTGACGGCTTAGAAGAAACACTTATTTCTTATTTTAAAGAAAGACAGAAATGTTCAGAAGATAGACATCGTCTTTATTACCAAACGCTCCTTTTGCAAGACAAGAAAATTGCACAGAGCTCTTTCATATCCCTGCAGGAATGTAGCTGAAGGAGCACTATTCTTAAACGTTATTTTGGGAGATGATTGGGACGTTGACATTGAATGTGTTTCTCAATTGTACGATGTTTTCTTTGCTATTCTACTTTTTATGCAATAGACAGCAAAACAAAATCAATTAATGAATTTATCATGCTCTTTGCATATTTTCAAGAACTTAAAGAATGTAAAAACGCCCCCCTTCTAACCCCCTCTCCCGAAAGAGCGTTCCCCTTTAAGAATGAAAAATTAAAGGGTCATCACAGGCATTCTATCTAGGTAATATGTTGTCAAACCGTGCCAAGCAAAGCCTGCACTCAGTCAAGTGTTTTCTGCTGGCAAATCTCAACATTTCTTGAAATTTACCCTGAAGTATGGTAGTTTTTTGAAAGTAATTTGTTTGTAAATATTTGAAAATAACATCCAGTTAGCCTTTTATTCCTTCTTAAGAGTTGCTTTATTATCTCCATAATCCTCTTTTGTACAGTTTCGGGTGCATACAACTGTTTACACTTCTTTATTGTAAAACAATAACCTTAAGAAGTTTAGTTGGTTGTGCAGTTTTTTGTTCTGTTTTCCAAAAAGGAAATTAAACTTAACTTTCAAAATGGTAAAGGGAGGAGACAACACATATAGGACGGCACCTGATATCCTTATGTTTTGTCAATTCATTGCAAACCAGCACGACTCAGAACTATGTTTTTCAGTTTATATATGAAATTTTCCTTTTTTCCAATGGCAGATACATGCTGTTTTACCCACTTAATGTAAAGCAACCCCCCCCCCCGGAAAAAACACTTTCATTTTCTTGAATAAGGTTGTTTTTGAGGTTTTTAATAAGGTGCATACGAGGATTGCAGGGTCAAAGGTTCTTTAGGGTGACTTCGTATATAAAACATTAATTCTGATAATGAGCTGGGTACGCGATGATTTGCAATGGTTGTATCCAGGGCCATCACTAGCTATAGTGCTCAAAAGGGGTGTCCAGGCCCCATTTGCCGACAAAGTGTGATAGCCATCCTTTCTTTGCCGACAAGCTAGTTTGAAAATTCACCGACAAAGCACAGCCATATGGCAAATAATCGATCGTTTGTGAATAATCGATCGTTTTCGGTGCAGCTGTCAAACTCCCAAGCCTCCTGTTACATATCTGATACAGTTGTGTTGTCTACAAAAAATGGTCCAGGGAAAATGCACTAACGAATAAAAACCAGATTATTTCTGAAATTGGTCATATAATTATCTACCTAAGAAAAAAAATACAAACAAGGTGTATAATAAAAAAGGAGCTCTTGAGTTGTTCTTTGTGGAGTTTTGCAGCATTTACTATATCATAGAGAGGTTTGTACGTATTATTATCATAGAGATTTTCTTAGTTTCGAGTTAATCTAAAAGGTTTTAGAAAAAATGAGAGAAAAAAGTCCTTTGATAAAAAGCAAAAGGTGCCTTTAACAGAATGCATCTGTGGATAGGCTCGACGGTTGAAATTGAGAGAACGTTGTTCACGAATGAGTTTAATTTGCGTTGATTGGTCTGGTAAATGGAAATTATCTACATAAATAAACTTACTGACACTCCCAATAATGCAAAACGCAAAAATGACACACTTCGTCAAATAACGTAATTTCTAAACGTAACAATTTAAAAACTAGGTGCAATCATACTATCCATTGGCGAATGCAGTTTTCACACAAAGACAAATAAAAATGTGTTAAAGAGGAACATTTCTTTTCATAAAACTCAATAATAATCTATAAGACAGGCGGTTACAAAAAACTCATCACGCTGATCAATTCTTAACTTCAGGTACTTATATATTTGTCACTAACCGACCCTCAGTACAAGATATTTCTGCCCTTCAAAATCTAAAAAGTTTCGAAACTTACCAACGACAGACACCTCTCCTAATAGACAAGCAACAAAATTTCTTCATCGTAAAAGCCGTCTCGATTAAGAGAATATCAACGTAAAAAATCGCTCAAACTAGCTTGAAGGTGAAATGCATCTCAATCTTACGCTTAAATGTATCTACGACCCAAAGAAATTGATCAAACCCCATGTCATTTAGCTTAGAAATAATCTCGGATAGCCATAAAACATATGACTTGAATATGACAAATATGTACACTTGAACATATGCAATGGTTTATCGGATTTATGACTGGGTTAGGTTGGTTTGTCTATGTTTTTCATTGGGTTATAAATCAGCTTTAACGAGACTGTTTTTTCACACACCATAGAGAAAGCACGAGCTTTTCTGCCACATTTGTAACTCGTTTGTCACAAGTTTACATCCATACGGAGCACTGCAGTCGTAGAATGTAACTGTTACTCGTTGGTGATTCGTGGTAACTCACTAATATTTTCAAAGGAAGATACGATCGTCCTTGTACTTTTAAAGAACGTGATACAGTCCAACGGTTGGGTACTGTTTCGTCCACTCCCTCCCCTCTAAACGATGATACAAAAAACCTTTTCCCCTAAAGCAATCGGAAAATGTAGAAATCAGCATATCAACATTGCATAGAGAGGACATTTCCCCAAAAAACCACAATTTAGCCTGGCGGAACCAAGTTTTTATCAAATTCTTGAATTGCCTAGTATTTTGTACTGTTTTTATTGATTCTGGGAGTGAATTCCAGATTTTAGGCCCTTGGCAACTTAATGATCTGATACCATTGTGAAAGGCTTTTAGCAAGTATGATATAAGCCTAGAGATGAAATGCCAGCAGGATGTGACAGAAATGCCATGGGCTCCGACGCAGGTAAGAAAGTGGGTGGGCCAAGAGGAAAATTTCACAATCATAACAACAAAGATTTTGAAAAAAGCTCTGATAATATCTTAGTATAAATTTGAACTGTAAAGAGAGTAATTGGGCTGGTGTGGTAACTTAGTATAAATTTGAACTGTAAAGAGCGTAATTTGGCTGGTGTGGTGACTTGCAGAAATTAGCCCCCTAAAGCAGCAATCAACGATAGAGATGCACCCCCTGTCATGTCAGTGTTCTTGGCAAATTAGGAAACACTTTAGACAAAGGAAAAGTAATATCGGCCAGAAACAGAGAGAGTTAACGGTTATAAAGAGCTGTGGTAGACTGACCTTTGTCAAGAAATTAAATACGCGGATAGAGCAACTATGATATCTTTTGACATTTCAATTCCATGATGTATAATTTGTCATTCATTCAAATATCCTTTGGCAAAATTTTGGGCGAAGTGACAAAATCTCTCAGTATTGGTGTGAATGTGTCATCGACATAAAAACTTTCTTAAGTTATGAAAGACAGTCTTTATCATTGACCGTGTTTGAGCGAAATTCTAGTAGACACTAAAAATGTGAGTGGTGTTGCAATACATGTGGCATTTTAGAGACTGCGTCGAGTGGTGGGTGACTCGTTTGACAACTATAGTAAATAAAGATTGATGCTAGGGTAGAAGTTTTTTCTGTGACCAAAAACCCTCTTTGGCCATCTATTTGCTTACTTTTATGTCCCTTTTTGTCTTTAGTCTTGCATGTAAATTTTAATGGTTGGAAAAATTTTCTTTGCTGATATTTTACAGGGCAGTTAGGAAATCAGCATTCAACTGATAAATTCTTAAAATGAAACAAAAAGAGGATTGGATAAAACCGTATTAAAAAGGTGTATTTCTAGTCTAAAGTGATAACGAGGAATGAATATATCCTCCAACTAAATATTTATTCGGTTGGTTGGTGATGGCAAAGACATCCACTCTAAAAATCAAGAAAAAACTGTCTGAATACAATTTTCTCTTACCACAGAACGACGATGTAGATCGCGACCGTAAACACGAGTTACCTCGCAACCGTGAACGCGTGTTACCTCGCAACGGTAAAGCCAAGGCCAAGTTAATACAACTAAAATGTCTCAAGCAGAGCGAATCAGCAAGAGGCAGTGTGGTTTTGCATAATGTGGCAGGATCGCATCAAACAGATGAAAGTGACTTAAGGAGATCTCTGGTTTTGTTTGAATGCACCAGCATGCAAATAGGATAACGGTTAAATTTGTTTTCACATATAACTTGACCTCTGGTCTCGAAACGTACTCGCTACAGACTACATGGTGTCTATTTTTGCAAAGTTTACAATCTATAGGAAGATATCATAGAACTCGTACAACCATGCTAGCTATAGAAAATAAATAAGGACATTAAAATCAGCATTGTCATAACAGTAATGGGAAAAAGAGGCCAACAGGAGTATTTTTAATAGCATATTGTTTTAGTTTTATCATACGTGGGGTATTAAAGCAATGCAGCGAGCAATAGAGGCAATATGCATATGGTATGCAATTCAGAATGTGAAGACGATATCAAAAGATCCCTTGCTACCACAGCTGCAAGGATCACTGGGGGTTGGACCAGATTGAAGGGGCTAAAAGTATCGGAGGGGGACTAAAAGCATCGGAGAAAGGGCTAGACAAACCAGAAAACCAATAGCAAGGAGAACAGTTGTTTGGTTCGAAGTTCATTTTGGATAAGCCCCCTCAAACACCCCGTCCAATTTCTACGGTTCTTGTTCTGTGTGTGTTTCGTCCCACTGCCAATAACCATAAAAATTACCCCCAACTTCAAAAAACCGACATAAGATCTCTACCTATAGCGACAAAACAGACAGCGGTGGGCAACTGAGACGTACCCAAATAAAACACCTGGAACTTCTGGCACTTAAAATTACAAAAGGCCTTCATGATCGCTTCGGGCTATGAAAAGGTATTTTTGTTGCACTGCTCTCTCGGGAAATTGGACTAAACAGTAAATGATAAAGGAAATAAAATTAAGCATTGGTGTAATGGAAACATTTCAATAATTACAGAAACGTTGTGGTATATATGATAATGCGCGTTTTCAAACTTAAGACAGGGGACTTCCGCCAGCCGTCTAATCGCCAATTTTGTCGCCTTTTTTAAATATGGCGGCCGTTAAAAAGATTAGTGCTAAGTTAAGGCAATTACAAAACAAAGGAAAAAGGAAAACTAATAATGATTTAAATGTCTTAAATAGAAATAATTATGCATTACAATTCCCGACAAGGATTCAAATTACATGTTTGACGATAACAGAAAAACAAGATATATTTTGAAAATACGGCATATCAGCTAAAATCAGTCTACGTAAAGAGATAAAAAATCATTCATTTAAATAGCTCGAAAAACAAACTAAAATGAATTAGTTCCCAACAGGGAAAGTTAATTTGGTGCTATCTTTTAGTTACGTATGACCCCAAAAAGGGCACTTGGCTTGAAAATTAGTTATTTTCGTATGCCTTCTTCAGACAGTTTGTTTATTGTGATACGCTTCAATTTATAAGGCTTTGTCCTTTGGCTGCTAGCTAACTTCAGTATTTAAGTTTAATAATGCTGAGATTATATTGATAAAAATGAAAATGATTCAGCTTTTAATGCCCAATACTTGGCAATAACATTTTGATTTTAGACCAGAGAGACTAAGCTCCTTTAACAACTCTTTACTTCCTCGAAGAATCACCTAGACTCATTCACCTTCTTCGCAATATTCCAAGGTAACAGCGCCATTTTGATGACGGGAAAGGCTTTGAGCAGAGTAAAGAAATTGAGGACCGCTTATAGAACAAATGTGCCACGCCCAAAACCCCACCTTGCTTGCAGTGCCTTTCAGGAAGGACAGAGTTTGACAGTATTGCTTTATGATTATAAAGAAACATGGGCTGCGGAGTTTGATGAGGGGCAAACTCTTAAAAACATACATAAAAAACAACAGAAAGTTTGTGACTTTCCAGCATTATAAAAAAGGCTTAGCTTTACCAAGCAGCTAGCACTACACCAACAATAAAAGGAACCATACAGAGAGTTTGTTTAGAACTTGGTACGTTGCATTCAAATTGAACAACCTTTTATGTATGAGTGTTGGATTCATTTCAAATGTGGAACAACATATGTAGTAAGGGTGACACTGTCGCAGAAAAGAAGAACTTTTTCAAAGAGGTTACTTCTTAGAAAAGAGCATTTATCAAAAAAGTTGAGGGTACGTGTCCTCGGTACACGCTCCCTGGTTCCAAAGTCCCAGCTCACATGTAAGATAAATACAGCTAAAAACGATTGAATTTGAAGCAAGTCCCCGAGACGCCAATGAACTGTTTAAAATCTGTCTCTAAATGCTATTTTACGGCTCAAATGTAAACCGATTCGTCATGTTGAAAACCAACATCTTCTCTGATTGCGGATATATAGTTTAATCAATTAAATTAACAATCTGAAACCAATTTAAGCAACTTAAAGCGTCTGGTTATAAGATTTGATTAGAGTATATCCCGTTAACTACATTCTTATTTTGCAAAACAGAGCCATTCGTTAGAAACAACGACATGTTCAGTAATCAACGTCCTTTCATCGCCAGGAAGATTTTAGCTCACGAAATGAATATCCGGGCGCTGATATGACGAAAAATATTACAAAAAGCCCATTGCTTTCCACATCAAAAGATTTTCAATTACCGTAAGAAGACACTTACAACTTGCTATTGCAACTGTTTTGTTCCTATATTAAATCATATAAAACTTCAAATCTCTAGAAAAAGAGACTTTCTACTACAAAATATAACATAACATTATGCTGGTAAACAGTTTACAGCATTTTTGGTTACATAACAAGGGATTGGCAAAGAATAATGTCAATTAATTAATGTTTAAAGCCTTTGGACTCTCACTGAGCATGTTAAGAGCTAACGTCACCAATGGATATAAGAAGCTGATCGTGGAGAGAAATGTCGTGGTTGTTTCACGAACAAGTATATTTTTTTTGCGGTACAGAATTTGAAAATGGCTTTGAAAAAAGCAAACATTTTACGACATACTAAAAGCTTTTTCGTCTGACACTCCTCAGAGCATAAAACGTCAGAATAGGTTCCGAAAAAACACGATGGAAAAATATATACCCAGTTGTGGATCGAAATAGGCCAATCAGAAAAACGCAAGCACAAGACCGGTATAGTTGACCAATCAGTGCGGCGAGCCTAAAGAAAAATAAAATGTTTTGGTCGAAAAGTCTAACACTGGATTTCTTACCAGTGTATATCGCAAGTCTACTTTTACCGGTCAGTACATACGCTGGAATTCATTTTGCCCAAAACAACGCAAAGTCAACCTTGTCAAAACATTAGTACATAGGGCACTTATGATCTGCTCGAAATCTAAACTGCACGCTGAACTGGAAAAACTCAAAACGATCTTCTTGGACAACGGCTATCCTGAAGACGTCATTTTATCTTGTATTAAGGAGAAGATCGCAAGTTTTTCGGCTGTTCAAAAGTTTGGTCCGCAAAAGTGCCCAGTTTATTTGAAACTACCATGGATTGGTAACACTTCCTTGCGATTCAAGAGTCAGATTAGGCAAGCCATAGCCAATTGTTTCTTTGCTGTCAATCCTCGGATTGTTTACAGCACTAGGAGAGCCCTTCCATCCATTCAAAAGGATTGCGTTCCTACCAAACAAAAAAGTTCCGTCATTTATGAATTTACGTGCCAGTGTGATTCTGGCTACGTAGGACGCACAACCCAAAGATTGGGGGATAGGATAAAACAGCATGTTCCTTCCAACATACGAAACAAAACTGCCCCTCCAAGAGAACAGCCTCCTCGATCTTGTAGGTCTAGAAACACTGTTAAAACAAGTGATTCTGCCATTGGTCAACATCTTTTAGACAACCCAGAGTGTGCAAAACTCTATAATGACGACATGTTTCGGATAATTGGCAGAGCCCGGTCGTCCTTCCATCTAGCAGTTTTGGAGTCAATCTACATAGAAACGAAAAAGCCGCCATTGTGTAGACAAAAGGAGTTCGTTTTCTCTCTTGGACTCCATTGGTAATTTTTCTTTAGGCTCGCCGCACTGATTGGTCAACTATACCGGTCTTGTGCTTGCGTTTTTCTGATTGGCCTATTTCGATCCACAGCTGGGTATATATTTTTCCATCGTGTTTTTTCGGAACCTATTCTGACGTTTTATGCTCTGAGGAGTGTCAGACGAAAAAGCTTTAAGTATGTCGTAAAATGTTTGCTTTTTTCAAAGCCATTTTCAACAAGTATATTGTTCCATGAATATGTCAGAGATGTTGTCTGAGAATAAGTATTCAAGGGGAAATGCGCAATGCCAATTGATGACTTAGGGGGAGGCATGCGAGCACCTGGACCAGTCAAAGTCGGGTAGAATCCAGTGGCGGCGCCAGCTACTGCCGAGTGGGAGGGTAATGGGCGTGGCCAGTGAGACCACGCCCTAATAACCTCGTTTCAGTGCTTTGTACCAGATCAAATTTCCTTAGGAAATATGATCTACCCCTACCTAGTGCTTTTTAACCCGTTTTTAGACGAAATATGTAGACCATGTTTTGAAAAAAGTGAGGGGGGGGGGTAATTACCCCCCCCCCTGCCGCCGCCACCGGTAGAATCGAAGAAAGTAGGCAGAAAGTCGAGAATTTGAGAGGTATAGCCATGCTTCAAAAGCGAGACGTGACTTTAAACCTGCAGAAAAATCCAGTAAACTGAAAGTATGTAGCATACGACCTAGGGTCATCTCTATGAAAAGGTTGGACTGGCCCACATGGTAATCCTACCTAGAGGGAAATTAACTTCTAGTACAGGCAATTATATGTCCAAATTGAACAAATTCATGTGTTACTATTACATAAGAAGAGGAAAACATACTTCGCATTTCGCGCATAAAATAAATATAAATCAACATGCCGTTGCCTTAACGTCAGCACCATTAAATACAAAGTCTTACAATTGAGTTCGTCTTACGCCAGGTACTAACGGTGCATTGGTGCATTGCTTTTATAATTGATTTCTACTATTTTGCATTATCAAACCTTAACTTTAAATTCTTGTCTTTTATTCTCAAAAGCTTTTCCAAGCACTATAGCACTTTGCTAATTAACTTTTTCAAGATCAAATTCAATTTCCGCTGAAATCCTAATCGCTTTGAGCCGAACATTCCTTGTCAATCTTAATCAATTTGAGCCAGCCATATCTTTCAATCGACGTAAAATATTTTTTAAGAGAAGAGAAAGAGATCCTTGCTTAAAAGAAAGCCTGACCAAATGAAAAACTGTTACTACAGCCAGTACACACGACGTGCACTAATTATAAAAAAATAAGGGAACGACTCTTCAATGCAATTATGACAGAGACACCAGTGTGTCAAAATGTCGTTAAAAATAGAACACCTAGTCAACGTGTTCCTGACAAAGAGGCCATTCAGAGATACAGCATAAATACTGTAAAACTCGTTTAGGTCATTCCTTGATTTCAGTCTAATTTCATGGAAAGGCAATCATAGTTTACTTGAAAGCAATCTAATATTATATGTCGGTTTCTAATCTCTTTCAAAGATCAACTTACCAGCCTATCTGCTCAAACAAATGTCGTGTGAAGCATTTTAAATATGACCACAATGATTTCCAGCTGACTGCTGAATGGAGGTCACCATGTAATTCATAATAAGAATATTTTAACATTAAAAGGAAGACCATTTTATATGAATACTACTAGTGTTTTATCTTTTGTTTAACAGAAAAGTGTGCTTTGAATGGGGCTTGTGGAAAAAAACGGTAAAAGAAGGAAATAGAAAGAAGTATAAATAAAAAAGTGATGGCAATATTTCTTAGGTTGTAGGAGACAATGAAGGTGATGAAAGTGCAGGGGCAGACACTTGGTCAAATATTTGGGGCAAGCCTATTGTTTTAATAAGATGACGTCATATTTCCCATTGTTCTAGAACAAAAGACCATTGTACTCTATTGGGGGGGGGGTTTCCCCCTCGCCCCCACAAGTGTCTGCCACTGTGAAAGTGTATGAAGCTGATTACACAGATATCATATGGAAATCACAATTGTAACTAGGCCTAGAAGGGAAAGGTTTTGAAGGGAAAAGGGGCGAGAAGGATAGATAAAGGAAGAAAGGAGAATAGGAAAAGTGACATGGCTTGAATGCAAATCATTCCATGCTCATTTTTCTGATTTTCTGATCAATTTTTCTATGACATAGCATCATTTTATAAAGTGTATTCTATCCATAATCAGTATCAGTTGCGCCTTGGTGAAGATATGTAATATGTATACCTTACTTAGTAACTTTGATTCTTCTTAATACATTTCAAGCAATGGGAGATGCTGTTTGAAAGGCTCATTGCTTATTGTTACCATTGCAAATCTCGAAGGCAGGGGCTTCTACTTAAGGGAATTTTTTAGTGAGTCAGGGGCGTTTTGATACATATAAATATGATCAATGTGAATAAATTGTACCAGGAAATTTTTTTCTAAAATAATACAATGTTAATATAAAATAATAATATAATGTTAATTATTTTAGAAAATTTTTTTCCTGGTACAATTTATTTACATTGATCGTTATTTAAATTCATCATATTGTACCGCACGCATTTTAGTATATAAATATGATACCAATGTAGAACAACATTAAAACATCTACATTAAAACTGCTGTTTGATCTATAAAACATCTTTTTTGCATAATATGTGATGGAATAGAAATAGAAGCACTGTGAAAGGGGGATAGGGGGTAAATCCCCTTTAACATCATCCTATTTGAAACTTTTGCTTCTTTGGGAAAAACTACAAAGTTAAATTGAATAGGTTTTTCCTTGAAGATCTCAGATACATCAATGCAACTCTAGTAAAGTAACATGAAAAGTTGCATACTTAGGCTCTGTTTACACGGGATTGGATCCAAACAGTATCAGATCCATTTGGATCCAAACTCATTTTTGAGAGGATGTTCTCATTTTTGAGGGTTTGAGGGGGGTCAGATCTTAAAATATTCGCATTTACACAGGTTCGGAACCGTATTTTAGCAGCAATTACTCAATCTCAGAAGGAAGAAAATAATTTGTCCTATTGTATCTATATTGTATCTGCCTTCATATTTTTGTTTTATTGTTTCTCAATAAGATGCTCCTTGGGTTTTGTTCACTTTACATTCCAGCACAACTTTCATCAGTAGAGCCCTCTCTTCGTCAGTCCAACCAAAAACTTTGCTCTTTGATCCTTTGTAAACCTCTTTATTCATTTTGAAAAAGCAGATATCTTTATTAATAGATTTGATAGCTGAGGTTAAACCAAGTTGAAAGGTTTGAATGATAAATTTATTGTCTTTGGCACCAAGTCTAGGAATTCAATATACAAAGTACCTTAAAATGAACATCTTCTGTACCTGTTTGGATCCAATCCCAATCGTTTAAACAAGACCTTTTGGGATCGAATCCAAACAGGACCATCTTTGAAAGAGATCCCAAACGGGTTGGATAGCAGATCCAAATTAGATCAGATCCGCAAAGTCTCGTGTAAACATAAAACCTATCCGTACCACTTTGGGTACCATCCATTTGGATCCGATCCTGTATAGACAGCCTCTTAAACTTCAAATGTCTTGTTAGATGATTTTTGTCGACATGTTACTAAAAAGTTCCAGTTAAACAAGATATAGTCCCTGTGACCAACTGTTTAGAAGAAAAACTTGATCGTTAATTGTCACAAAAGTACAATCCTAAATAAAAGATAAGAAATTCTCCCTAAATGCTGATACAAAAAGAATTAATTTTAGCCTACCATAAAAAATCAATCCCCATTTATCCCCATATAATACATATGGTTCATTCCTGATACAACCCTAAAGCCTTGGCCAAACTGGGCAACATTGTCGGGCAACATTCACAAATTCCTACTGTTGCTCAAGACTGTCCAATTTGGCCTGTGTCGGCCGACAAATTCATCAAGCTCGAATGTTTGAACACGCTCAAACATTTTTCAGCAACATTTGTTGCTCAGCTCTACGTTGTCCAGTTTCGCAACATTGTTGGGCAACAATTCACCTTAATTTTCCATCTGAGAAAAACCAACTTGCGCAGTGATGTATTGCAAAACAGTATGCTCCACTCGATTCAAATAAAATGGCCTGTCAAAATTTAAGCTTTCAAGATGATTGTACCGAATGGGAAGAAAACCATGGAGTGGAAGAATAGTTTAGGAAGAATAAAAGTCTCGTCTGAAACAAGTCCAAATGCAAGCTCTTTGAAAATACAAATCAGCCAATTCAGCCCAGCAGAGCAAAAAATTAAAAATCAACAGAGACATGAGTACTTCTTACAGTTGCCTGATCACAAAATGAAACTCAGATTTGCAATATGAAGTTGTTGTATAGTAGAGAGAAGTTTTGCTGACTAGTTCCAACTTTCTGTTCTATTCATGGCAGTCAAACCCCCATTATACGTATGTTTCTTTATGTTTCCATAGTGGCAGAAATTCATTTCTTGGGGTATGGTTGTACTATCAAAGAAGGTAAGAATTTCAATTTATTAAGAGTAATATTGCACCATCAACTTAGATTAGAAGGACAAATTAAAAACCTTTGTGAAGAAGATGGGAAAAAGGTAAATGCTCAGCCAGGATTGTTTGCTATATAGACTAAGCGTATAATTTTAATGAAAACATTCATTAAACCATATTTTAGTTATTTTCCTCTTGTTTGGATGCTTTGTAATAGAAAAAGTAACAACCAAATAGACAGGATCAATGAAAGGGCACTGAGAATAGCTCATAATGATTATCAATCAACTTTAAACAACTTTTTATAAAGAATAAAAGCATTTATGTCTCATAAGAAAAAAGTATAGTATCTTGATATAGAAATATGTGAAATATTTAAGGGCTTGAATCCAACTTTTATAGATGAAACATTTTGTCATAAATGAATACCATAATAGGGAAGATAGCCCTATTAAGCAAATCCTTTAAAAGGAAGCCATAATTTGTGCCTAGCACTAACAACATCCTTAATTTTATCAAGGCAGGATTGCAAATTACCACTCCATCAACATATCACTTTATATTACTAAATATATAACTAAAAAAATTAAATCGTTATTTTAAGACTCTTTATAATTCTATTACCAATTCATTTTAAGGAAGTTACAACACTCTTTGTTAATAAATATAAAATAAACCTCCACCAATGAAAAAAATATGACTCCAGCTTGGGGGGAACACCCTCACCTCTAATTAGTCAATGGACTAGTTGGTGATTTCTTCTATTAAAGAACCCGCAAAATGATTATTCAGTTTAGTCATAATATAATAAAGGCGCGTTTTATTGATTTTTTAAAATGAAATTGTAATTTGAGCACAAGAATTTTAAAATCAAACACAAACTGAAACTGAAGTATCTGAAAAAAAATTCTTCTCACTTTTAGAATGAAATTTTCTCTTCATGAGATTCCTTTAAGGTCTAGTATCACATTCTGTTGATATCCAAACTTGTTCGGATTTAATAATGTGCCATTTGATGTTATCATAAAGTGGATTTTGCCATAATACACTGGCATGCATAAAAGAAACACACTCTTCGATTTCTTCACATGTCACATCTCATTTTGAGCGAAATTGCAAAATTTTGTGTCACAATGTAATCAAGATCAGTAAACCATACAGAGAAATATGATAAATGAAACTTTATCAGCTCATTTTTCCAGCTCCATTTTTCATGACAGCAATCTTGGTCATCAATAAAAAGTTTCAAGAAGCTCCCATTCTAAGAAGTGTTTAAAGTCAAACAGGACCTTGATGTTTAGAAGACGAGAGCCCATGGTTGAAAACGTAAGGAAAAAGAACATACATTCTCCTGTTGACAAAATCTTTTTACGTTTACATGGCTAAAAATAGGCCTAGATAAATTCCGCGATTTTGCTCAGGCATCAGTACAAACTCGTATTCGGCACAGATATAAAACCAATAGAAACTTACCTTCGTCCTTTTACCTAGCCATCGCTCTGAATAAACTTCTCGTTAATTACAAACTGGTCTTCTCGCCATTCAAAACTTTGGCACAAAATTGCACCCCAGTCTCCGCCATTTGACTTTTTCTTCTATAGGAGATTTTCTTTCTCTCCGGAAATCCCCAGGACATTCATAGAACGACATCCACCAATCAGCGTCAATGTCTCTAATCTCTTGACCTCGGAATCAGAAGCCCAAGCTCATGTAAACGCCACACTCATCCGCAGCGTCCTACTAGTTCGTTTGGTTTCCATTATAAAAAAACTCATTTCGACAGTACAATTTCCCGTTGCGGTATCCAATGCAAGCAAAAAAACATCATAAAATATAAAAAGAAACAATAGAAAGTTGTTACAGTAGGTGCATGCGACAACTGTTGCAGAATCTACGCGTTTCCATTTTCAAAACTGGACCTTTCCCTTGAGCCAATTTCGATAAAATCAGTTTCTTAGCTCATTTAAATTCACCCTTAAATTCACGTTTTGTCAATTGGAATTGTCAGAAATAACAGAATTAGAAAATTACGACGTCACAAAAATCCAATGTATTATTTTCAATTTCTGGAAGAATAATATAAATATTTGGTGCCGGAAAATTCCTTTAGCATGTTCTCCTCTGCCTCTTCTTTCTATCTACAAATTTTGACTACGTTTCCTGAAAGAACACCATGAAATGGTTTTAAAATAGTAAAATCAGTCGAAAATAGCTTAAACTGGCTTGGATAGCTTAAGTCCAGTGAATCCTTGACATTTTCTATGGAATCACCGTAATTCTGCCTTAGTTCTGACCTATTTGGATCAAGGTAAATCTACAATAATCCTTTGGTGAACTTCAGGTCTTCCAGCGGCTATTTCTCGGCCAATTTGAGCATATTTAACTAAATCTGCAAATTTAGCAGTATTTTATAGTAAATTAACCTATAAGTCTCAGAAACTTTTTCACCTGCTTCTCATTCTTCAAAAGAGGGGCAAAATTTTCAAAAAAAGGGAGCTAGACTTGCTTCAACTCGGTGAGGGAGGGGCAACTGCCCCCCTCTAAATCCACCACTGAAACAAGTGTAACTGTATTTAGGAAAAGCTGAGTTTTATTGGGTTTTGGTCTACCTAATCATATGAAGTTTTATAATATTTGGGGATGTTATTTCAACTTACTGGGGTAAGATCATGAAACGTTTTCAAAAATAGAGATCTTATAGAGCCACGCTCCTTTAAAAAAGGGTAGTTGCCAGTTTAATCCAGTTTCTTCTGAATCTAATAAACAAAATCTTGCCAAGAACTTTCTGATAAATTCAGAAACACGATAGATAAAAAAAATGATGGAAATTTAATAAAATAGTAATGACTGTTCGACATCCCCGCGCACGTTTTGTTTCCAGTCATGGTATGCAGGCTTTGAAATATCGAGCAGGACGGTTCTACGTTGGAACTCCCATTTTCAAGCTTAATGAGAGTTCAAGCTTAAGCAGCAAAGTGACATTAAATATGAATGAAAACCCCTGAATGATTATCCTGGGTACCAGAGCAACAAAGGTTCGAGCTCTTCTCATCCATTTCTGTGCTCAAAACGGTGTGGCTCAAGTACCCTGGGTATAGAATGATAAACTATGATGGCCATGGACTCATCGAGCAAAAAAATGCGATAACTTGCCATCAACTTACAAACAACTACCCTAACCCTAAGGAGCATTGTTAAAGGTTCAGTTTCACGTTTACATGCTTTTCAGCAGCAGATAAAAAATTTTCCATCGTTGGTGAACTTGAAGGTTACCTCTCTTGTGCATCTGTATCGAATCTACCTAACTATCATTGTGATTGGTAACCGGAAATATATTTTACTTGGTAGCGAGTATACATAGGCAAGAAGGCCAAAGTATGTCTTTGGTAAGTAATTTAAAATCTCCACATGAAAAGTGATCCAGTCAAGTTTGTCTCCAGCATAAATATTTAATGCATGCTTAGTGCTATAGTGAAACATAGAAGGGTTTTTCAAGTGAAATATCTTTTATCTTTGAAAGGTTTTTATCTTTATTCAAGTGAAATAAAATAAAAACGAATTACATAATATCACCTAAAAGTCAAAAATTCAAAAAATGGAACTATGAGATTTGGATGTTGATTTAAGTAAAGGAGACAAAATATCATTTGAATATCATGGTAGTGACTTGAGAATTTATCACCATAAGATAAATATTTAATGCAGTTTCAGGCGACTTGGAACCTGAATACTAGGAACAAAGCATGTGGGATGTTGACAACAAAATTGATAAATAAATCGAATTCAAAGACCAAGCCACTGTGTAGGATATTTCATAGCTAGAATACGAGGTTTGATAAACAGAGGTCTGCACACAAAAACGAATAGTACCAAACACATTTAAATTAAATCTAAATTTCTAGGTATTGTGACTACAAAATTTGTTGCATCACTCATTCAAGAAAATTAAATTTACGACTTTTTAGTCGCAAAGAAAGGCCTTCAACGCATTACCTGTGCAGAGACGTTAACAAAAATAGAGCGTGGTTTATCGTTAGGTAGCTTTGCACTGAATGGTTACATAACGAGTTAGGATTATCGATCTCTTCTGTAATATCATTATAATGGTTAGCATTAACATGTCGGTCACATCCTCCGTTCTGTGGAACCTGAAATAAAAATTCACGATGAAAAAAACTATCTTTCGATTAGTAAGTTGAGTTTTGTACAAATAGCAAAAAGGAGATACGGCTCATTTGCTTTTTGATAAAAATGTTTTTCATCTGCATTTTACCCTGGCAATTGTTAGGACGCACAGATCAAACAGAATTTTTTTATTCTGGTAAATGAGAACGCTCTCGTAACATCGAAAATCGAACATCATATGAGGTTTCGAGACAGGGGCCCTGTTGCGCTTCCAAGCAGAAACCTTTTGTGGAAGTTTGCCGCTAATTAATTTTCATAAACTCATTCAATATTCAGGAATCGCCGTTTTAAAGCATTTAAATATTTTACACAAGACCAAGATTGCGACAAACTGTATCAATGAGAATACTTAGTGAACAACTAGTACAATAAATTATCATAAATTGGGAAAAAGTTGAATAAAGTGAAATACAAGTAGTCGAAAAACCAATCAATAGGCCCGAAAGTAAGTAATGGCGAGACAACATCCAATGCTTTTGGCTTTTATGACAGCAAATAGAGACATTGACTTTAAAAAAACCAGTACCAATGTCGTTATAAACAATCATTTAGGTGCAAACCAAGATAACGTAAAGATAAAAAAGATTGAAATATACAAGCATGATACCAGTGATTCCTTTATTATGAGCTGTCAATCATCTAGATCCATAACCTCGTTTACAAGTAACTCTTTGTTGTGGTCACCTGGTACAAAAAATCGAAGAAAATATTTTTTTCCATAGAAAAAAAAATCAGCAAAGAGCCTGTGAGTGTGGCCTTAAGCGGTCTCCTACTAGGCTAATCTGATCGCGCGATGCGAAGCTATGATAGTTCTGTAGTATTATAATGTACTTTGTACATATTTTTATCAGTAACAATTCTTAATGGAAAAAATTTAAAATTTGGCAAACATCCAAAATGAATATTGAGGTAATTGGCAATAAGCACTAATTTTGAAGGACACCAGCTATTTCTCAGGGACCATGCTCAACTTAGTAATTCTCAAGTACATTCGTAAACAAAATCACCTAATGATATACGAGGAAAAGATAGTGATCCATAATATCTAGGCAGAGTACTTTCAAAATTTGGTCGGTGCTTCATATCAAAAACACATATCCCAATACGTTTTTGGTACCGTAATTTGAAGATTGCTCGTAAAAGTGGAAAACAGATGACATATATACTGGTGTAATATTTCTCCGCAATAGCAAATGATATTGATAACGAGAGTAAACATGCCAGTAAAATTTATACCTCGCACATTGATGTTGGCTCCAACCTGGCAGTCTTTCAAGTTACTGTTTTCTTTAATGTATGCATAGTTGCATATGACACTGCCTTGAATGCTGCAACTAGAAATTCAAGAAGAGTGTTCATGAGACACTACAAGTCATCACCCTTACACCACCGTTCCAAAATATTTAAAGCGTTTTGAGTCCTTAATTTTATTCGAGCAACGAAAGCAATAGCAGTTGGTTTTACTGCTCGATATTGCTAGATACTATAGTCAATGATACTTTCAGCCTTTTTAATATTTGGATCATTAACAGCAATCACAATTTCCACCTCTTGCACGCTCCACCCAGATTGGTAGGTTTTCCTGAATTTTTGTACACCGAAGCCTTCACTCAATGGCCAAGTTAACCGATAGCTTGCAGCAGCAACGCAAACGGAATAAATAATGACAACTTAATATTTGAACATCTTGTTCTTGCTGTTAGGAAAATCTATTATTTTCTCTTCGCTACATAAATCACTTTAACAAAGCGGTTACTTTTGCAGACGTCTGAAAATTCTCTGAATTTGAACCAATCGAATGTCATTGCCAGATAGATACATTCGAGATAGTCCACGCAATTTGTTTGAAGTTTTTGACGAATGAAAATCCTTTAAGGGATGCAATTGCAACATGGGAAGCATTGCATTCCTTTACTGTGAAGGCACCTGATTGTAAATCGACTAAAGGCCTTAGGATCTTCAAAGTTTCCTTGTTGTCCTCACTACACATATTGTGTGATCAATCATCTCTAAGCCCTCTCACAAGTTTTACCAAAACTGTATAAAAGTCGGATTCATTTCACCCTTTTTTACCTTGTTGCATTTCATTATCCTCAAGGTTTGACTGGTTTTACTAATGCCATGGCATATGCTTCTGGGCCTTATTCATCTTTTTCCGAGTATCTTAATCATTTTATTCAAAAGAAGAGAAACATTTAATAATACTAACATGTTCAATCTTGTAGCTAAATTGTTTGTCTTCATTCTCAAATTATTGGAAACGTTGAAAAGATCGCTTTTTCAGATGTGCCTGCAGACGTAATTTGATCAGTACGGTTTGCCTGCGAGCGTCGCAAGTGAACTGTAGCGAGGCCTGTTGTGTACAGCTCTGCCTATACGTCATCGACCACTTTATGACAGACCAGCAAACAGTAGTTTTCAAAGGTAACAGATATATACAAGTATGGTTAACATTTTTCTTTTGAGATTCAACATGGTAGGCTGGTAGGTCAGGAACCAAATATTAATCAGAGACGGAAACTTGATTGTTAGGTGGGGTAGGGACAAAAGCGCTAAAATCTGTGTTTTAACTGTCAATTTAACCCTGCAATCCCCGTCCTGGCTATGCTCGCCTGCCATTTCCGTTACTGAAGCGCAAGGTTATCAAAAATTCACAAAGAAGTTTTAGAAACAAATGCACAAAAGAAAGAAAACAACAATCAATCAAATTTTAGCTAACGTACCCATCTTCTATTGTAACATACTCCATAACAACCGAGTTGCTGATTTTGACTTTGGACCCAATCTTGCAATGTTTTCCAATCGTTGACTTTTTAATTGATACATTTTCTGAAATACTGACACTCTCCCCGACGATACAGTCTGAACCAATCTGAAATATAGATTAAAGATATAGTAATAAATTGATAATTACTCTCTATTCACCCCTGTCATTTCTCATATTATCATAGGAAATACTACAGCAAATATGGAAAAACATGTCTTACTTGCGCATTTACAAATTTTCTAAGTATTTAGTAGAAAACATAGAACCAAAATTTGTTTTATCATAGATAATTCCTGATGAATTTGACCATGAAATGAAATTAAAAATGAACAGAAATTAGTGACATGTACTAATGAGCAAACGTGTTGATACGTTAATTATTGTTGCTTATTATTGCTTGATACACTAACAATTATTGTTCGGTAAATCATTGCTCCATACATTGATCATCATTGCTTGATACGCTAATAATTTTTTTTGATACGTTAATAAATATCTTTTGATACGTTAATAAATATCTTTTGATACGTTAATAAATATCTTTTGATACGTTAATAAGTATCTTTTGATACGTTAATAAGTATCATTTGATATGTTAATAAGTATTTTATGATACATTAATAAGTATTTTTTGATACGTTAATAAGTAGCATTTGATATGTTAATAAGTATTTTATGATACATTAATAAGTATCATTTGATATGTTAATAAGTATCATTTGATATGTTAATAAGTATTTTATGATACATTAATAAGTATTTTTTGATACGTTAATAAGTAGCATTTGATATGTTAATAAGTATTTTATGATACATTAATAAGTATCTTTTGATACGTTAATAAGTATCATTTGATATGTTAATAAGTATTTTATGATACATTAATAAGTATTTTTTGATACGTTAATAAGTATTTTATGATACATTAATAAGTATTTTTTGATACGTTAATAAGTATTTTATGATACATTAATAAGTATTTTTTGATATGTTAATAAGTATTTTATGATACATTAATAAGTATTTTTTGATACGTTAATAAGTATTTTATGATACATTAATAAGTATTTTTTGATATGTTAATAAGTATTTTATGATACATCAATAAGTATTTTTTGATATATTAATAAGTATTTTATGATACATTAATAAGTATTTTTTGATACGTTAATAAGTAGCATTTCATATGTTATTAATTATAGCTCGACACATTAATAATTCTTGCTGGCTACGTTAGAATCATTGTCATAAACATTAATAATTATTGCTTGAAACGTTAGTGATTATTTTTTGACACGTCAATAAATATTACTTTATACATTTTGGGATAAATGTTCGAATCTGCTAGCTTCAAATTCTAATGAAAATTCATTAGGTTTCTTTGGCAAGAAAACACACATTGGCGAAATCAAAAATGTTTGCCGTTGCTGTTTACACTGTTGATTTTTTGCAAAAGCTTCAGGTTTTCAATATTTCTATCGAACATGCAGCCTGAAACATCGATATGCTACTTGATTATAAAACCAAGATTATCCCAAGTAAACTTTTTGCACAGCAAAATTTCAATATTGCACGAAAAATGTATTGTGATACTGTGTTTACGTTCTTTGCAACTTTACAAGTACTAATGGCTACTGACACTGACCTCAAAGTAAAAACTCAAAATATTAAGACCCAAATAAGTAACATGAATGAAATATATTTCAAGGCGACTATAAAACTTTGCAGCGTACTTGTTAAAGTTATTCGGGCAGCGTAGAAAGGTATATGTACAGCTGGTTAAATTGACACGGGGGTAAATACACAAATGTTAAGAAAAAGGATTTCGAGAAATTTTAATTTCGTTGAAAAATATTTTCAACGTTAAGATAAAATCTGGTTTGCTAAGTTTTAGATAAAAATTGAACGGTCAATATCGAATAACGAATAATACGGAATATCTAAGATGAAAAGAAATTTCAATTCTACAAAATTAGCGTACCTGAGATTTTTCTTTAACGTGAACAGTGGAGTGGATTTTGGCAAAGTCTTGATTTTGTAAAATCGTTGGCAAAAGTTTGGTTATCTAAAAAATGAAGCGATATAGGGATGAATGGGTGGAAAATATCATATAAAACAGCGTGAAAAAAGAAATAATGTAATACGTCATACATATCAACTTTTTACTGCTGAATTTTGCAAAATATTCAATTGAGTGTCATCAGTGGAGGAAATACTGATTAAGGAAATGAAAATAAAACACAGGCACAAAAAACATGTACTGGCACTCTTGATAAAAGACAATGAGGTCGAAACAAGCGAAAAGGTATCACATGTAATTATCATGTAATTCAAGATGTACTGATGTGATTAATGTCGGACTAAGGTTGAGTATGCATGTAGACTTAAACAATAATTTTCTAATATTTCCAATACATTATTGAAAATTGCAAACTTTAACATGTATTTTATCTGTTTTTCATACCTATTCTTAATTCATAATTTAAACTATAAATAAGACTTAGTTTGTAAAGTGCAACTGGGTATCATTTAATATTATGGCGCTAAAGAAATTATAGACTATTATTATTATTATTACTATAATTAATATGATTGTGCATGTAACCTTTAATGATAATAAAAATATCAAGATGCTTAAGTGTTAATGATAACAACATTCTGTCTAATAAAATCTTTGATTGCATTTGTCAAGAGTGCTGAGCTGAAATGATTTTGCCATCTTTCAAAATTTTCAAAAAACAAGAAACAGGTTTTTGATGGTACTACGATCCAGGATTGTATGGAATAATAAAGTCAACACTGTCCCTGTTATTTTGTAGAGAATGATAATGCTTATTGTTTACCGATTTCAAGTTTAACAAATCAGTATAAAACCCAGTCTAGACAGTGCTTTGGCATAATCCAGGTTCGAAAGCAAAGCAGGCAATCTTTGTATCCTTGACTTTTACCAAATACTAATGCAAAATAAGCAGTACTGCTTGAAGATTCAGCTGGAGGATATCAGGGTTTTAAACTGCGAAAGGATCACATTTCTGTCTTTAAAAGCAGAACTACAAACAATTTGACACAAACGATCACCAGAGGATAGTAACATGCATCTTCAGGATAACTGGCTGAATTTGTTTGCATCTCAATGCCTTTAATCTTTGTTTTCAGTTTATGGTGGTAACAATTAGATAGCTATTCATAAGAGTTATTGACACATCAAGTACTGTAGATCTTGCCCTTAGTTAACGAGCGCTTTACAGAGAGGCTACTAACTTTATGCCAAATTCGGGCTTTGTTGTAAATTAAATGCAAAAATCTTACAAGATTTGTCATGGCGCAGCTCCGCTTAATAAAAGCGTTTTTTTACGCAGACACGCTTGCAACCAAATCTTTTAAGAATCTACTCACTGTTAAGGATAAAGTTGCGGCAAGATACAAACAAGTAACTTATAGGTATTTTTTCATCTCTAATACACAGATAAGTTGAAGGCAAACCTCGCGGTTGATGTGCGTGTAAGCCGGTAGGTCATTGATTCTTACTGTCAAGTTGTCATCCGCAACGTAGCCATGGCAACGAATGACGCCGCTACACTCAGAGGAGTTGCCGCTATCGCCATGGACTGACCATAGACGCACCGATGACCTGACGTCGTCTTCTCTAGCGAAACTAAAGATATCTGTTTGAAGAAATAAAATGCATACTTAACATGTTTCTAACGATGTATCATTTTTCAATAGCTATTCATATCCAGTTTATTGTATAACAAAACGATTTTAGGCAAAAATAAGGTATGAAGTCGATTAAATTTAATGATAAAGACACCGGCATAGAAACTACTGTTGTGCAGGTATGTCATTCAAGGCTCGTTGCCGTAAAGATAGCGCTATATACGAATTGTATACAGCAGGATGGTTTGTATGCGATCATACGGAACTTTTGATCCTTCATTAAGTACAAAAAAGATTTCCAAACGCTAGAATAATCTCGTTTTACATTGATAGACTCTCAAAATAACAAAGGTTTTTTTCTTGAAATTGCTTGAGTATCACTATACATCGAACGCATATCAATTTTCATTTTCTTTTCAAAGTTTTTATTCTGTTTCAAATTTTCAGTCACCTTATATTTCGCCCTCTCCATTCAAGAAACTTGAGTTCTCTAATAGGCACCGAAATTTAGAAACTATGACGGGAAATTTTTCCACCGAAAATTAATCCACCGAAACTTTTTGCACCGGATTTTTTGCATTTAATGTATGTACGCTGTCTCGTAATATACTGACGAGCTTTCACGGCTTTCTAGTAACAAGATAGTCATGAAAATTGTAAGACTAATATCACATTGTCATTGTGATCCTGACGTTAAGCTAAAAATCCTAAAAATATTGCATCAAGAAAAAAGTCTCTGAAATGACTGCATAGAATGCTGGGTAATTTGGAAGTAGACATAAATATAATACAGAGCAGTTCAAGTGTTCGGGAAATTGAACAGCTTAAGCCGTTCCAACAAATGCTGTCAATTCATGTGTCACTGACAGAGACAGAACTAAAATTGCAAATAGTTGACATAATTAACATAATTAACATTAGCGTAGTTTTGAATGAAGCCGAGTTACATGAGCCAAATATCAAGCCTAAGGTCTGTGCATAGCGGCGGTTGAGTGTTGCAGTGTTACGGTTGAGTGATAGCTTTTGACAAAGCATTTCTATGATGTCATGACAATCATGCTCTTTTAAAACGCTGGAAGGGCAGTAGGTGATAGAAACATAGTTCTTAAGCTTTGATTAATCTATCAGACCGAAAAAGAGGATTCTATAATGCAGAGTCTAAGAAAAGTAATGGTAGAAAGGTACTGGAAGACAAAAGGTGGTTTTAAAGCACTTCAAAATATATGTAAAAAGCAAAGCAAAGGCATAAACGGATTTACTTAAAGTCAAGAAAGAGCAAACAACCTTATAGATTTTCATAAAATCCACATTGGGTGAGGCGATTAGTCTCAAGTCGTGAATCAATATTTCTTAATTACTCAAAATCCTTTAATTAAAATGATTATTCATTGTCACTAAAGCCTACACCCATGTTCCTTAAAATGAGAAGTTCGTTAAAAGTCAGTTAATAGGAGATGATTATAAGTGAAATCTTGGATGGAACAGCAGGATAGATTCATAAAATGCTGTTATTTTTCGTGATTCGCAGTCATGAACAATTATTTACTGAAACGAAGCAAGAACCACGCCAGACAGGAGATGACACCTGCAAGTTCCTAGTTGAACAGCTGGCTTAGAGCTAACCAGTGATATAGTGGAGGAGTAACGCGGCATAACGCCCTGGGCTTTCTATAATGATTTGGCTGCAGCGTTAAAGTGCCTACCCAAACAAAAAGTGACGTGATGCTTCTTAAATATCAGTATCATACTGGATATTAAAGCTATTTAACAAGCTAAATTATAACAACTAAATTGGCTAGACTTTCAATACTTGCCTCACATATGCTTTTACTGTGTATGAAAGCGATTTAATTTATATGAAGATATGAGCATGCAGTTCAGAGGTCCTTTTGCTCATGACTGTACGCAGTAACATATGAAGGATATTTTTAATAGTCACATGGTCAAGAGCACAGAAGCACAGGGTCACAGAAGAAGAAAATGACCGTGTTAAATAATTCCAGAAAACGAAACTAATGACAAAAATTGACAAAATAATAACATTAGGATGGCACAGATTTGGGCAATATGATGACTTTCATGGGAAAAAATCATTGCTTTGAATAAGGAAAAATAAGGGATAAAGCTATACTACCAGCAATAACATAAGGTGTTTAAACATGGACACTAGCATAAATTTGCAGTGGCACAGAGAAGCATGAAAAAGCAATGCTTAAAATGCTGAAGCTGCTGACGTTGTAGAAAAAACAAGTGGACAAATGAAAGTTTAAGATCACACACTAAAGCTGAAGACGTTGAAGAAAAATCAGGAAAATATAAGTGGCAAATGGCAGGCCATGTCGCTTCGATGAAGGCAAGAAAGTGGAGAAAATGGCTTTGAAAAAGCAAACATTTGAGTAAACAAAAGCTTTTAGTCTGACACTCTTCAGAGTTTAAAAAGTCAGAACATAGACCGAAAACTCCACGCTAGGAAATATATATACCCAGTTGTGGATCGAAATAGGACAATCAGAAACACGAGCACAAGACTGTTGAGGTTGCCCAATCAGTGCAGCTTGCCTATTGAGATTGTTACCAATGGAGTCCTAAGGTGAAAACGAACTCCTTTTGTCTACACTATTGAGATTGTTACCAATGGAGTCCTAAGGTGAAAACGAACTCTTTTGTCTACACAATAGCGGTTTTTTCGTGCTTATGTAAATAGATTTCAAAACTGCTAGATGGAACGACGATCGGGCTATACCAATGGTCCGAAACATGTTGCCATTATAGTTATTTTGCATAATCTGGGTTTTCCAGTAAATGTTGCCCGATAGCAGAATCGCAGGCTTTACTTGTACTTTTAGATCTGCAAGACCGAGGTGGCTGTTCTCTTTGGGGATGAGTTTTGTTTCTAATACTAGACGGAACATGCTGTTTTATTCTATCCTCCAATCTTTGGGTAGTGCGTCCAGAATCACACTGGCATGTAAATTCATAAATAACGGAACTAAAGTGGAGAAAGAAAATCACCAAATTTTTTACAAAAAGAGGATGCGAAGGAACTAAAATGGGACAGGAGGATGATCTGTAGAGCATCGCATATATCACTTGGAAAAGAGTAGCACAAAATACAAAAGAAATAAAGGAGTTTGTAAAGGCTATGAGCCTCTAGTGGCCTGGACAGCTGATGGTGATGTCTGATGCAGTTGTTTTGTACTTTGAAGGTATATAAATATAAAAATTTTGTACAATATAACCATTAATAATATGAATATAACAAATTTTTTATGTATGTATAATTGTTTTGATAGTTGGAGGTTTAGTGATAGAGGTGTATTGAAAAGCATAAAATATTCAGTATTTCTGAAAAACTAATGAAACGCTGTGTCAGTTTTTAACTTTTGCGTTATACTTCCTAAAAAAAACTGAGCAGAGGTTTAAGATTGTTTAGTTAAAATTCTTTTGGCCGGTCAACTGATGATGCTGATTTGAAAAGAGGACTTCTAACTGTTAGGCTTGACAAATTACCTGATAAAGTTTCAGCAGGATTTCAGGTATATTCTTGGAAAGGCACAAGAGAGAAAAGCATTACATCTTATAAAAGTCGGCGAAAATCAGGTTGGCAACACCCTTTATCAAACCTGCCAAACATTAGAATACTGACCTTGGCTAAATATATCGGAATTATCAACGAGCGAAAAATAGCACTTGCAAAATGTCATATCGAAAATACCTGGTTTTGTATTACATTCTGTCAAGGATGCCATTGATGAATTCAAGTCATTCTGTTGTTCCTTTTGTTTAGCTTTTGAAAACTGCTTGTTAATCACGTACGGGATGGCATCAGCTTTTAGACTTTCAAAAGACCTGTCAAAAAATCAAACGGATGTCCAATTTAAACTTTGACATGATACCAACAACTGTAATGTTAGTTGCAGGACTGCCAGACCAGTTAATCAAAAACAGAGGAGAGGGAGAGGTTTTCTTTTGGGAATATAATCAAAACTCTCTGATACACTGTTTGCAAGGGGGGGCACTTCTCTTGCAACGACGCAAAAGATACTAGCGGGTTCACACCCCTCCCCCTCCCCCTTTTTTCTATAATTAGGGGGTCATGTTGGGGGGGAGGTAGGATTAAAGTGGTGTGTTGAGTTTGAAACAATTGCCCACGCTGGTACTTGGTACAATTTTGTGCATGGCTCTTGTGCATGGCATGTGAATTGTTATGATTTTCTTTAGGAGTACCTAAAATATAATTAATACTTTAATCATGTTCCAACCCATTCAGACGGATTGAGATCCTACAAATAAGACATATCGTTTGCGGATTATCGTGCCGATATAAAGCTTGCTATGTAGCAGGCATTAGTCCCATTTAGTCGACAGAATAAAAAAAACGTTCCCGCAGGCAACTAGCAAAAGGTCTTTTTCTATGAAAAGATTTTTTTCAAAATTTACAAAAATCAGAAGGACCCCATTAAACCGTGATGCAACCCTAGGTTAATATTTTCTCAAGCATCAAGAGCGCTCCAAAACGTGAAGTAATGACAATTTTAAAAACAATGGGCAAGTCCTTTTATTTTGGTGTTTTGGAACCTGTCTTCATGAAAACAGATCTCAAAATATGTAGACAAAAAACTTTTGCTATGTAGATGTTCGCTTTCTATTTTGAACACTCCAACAACACGTGTGGTTAGCGGTCACTGAATGGCCAATTGAGGCTTAACAGCACAAATAAACCACGTGCTTGCGACATGTAGCCCACCCATTGGAGCTCTTCAGGGATGTTTTCTCGGTGTTTTTGTGCTAGCTTCCACTTAGGTCGAAAATACAAATCATGCTGTCACGCCAAATCTCGTGTTATCACAGCACCAATGGGCTATATGCCTTAATTCTTCAGTTTTATCTACTTGACCATACATCTTGGCTAGTGTTTTTGCCAGTTTCAATCAAAGCAAACAGCAATGACATGTAACAGTGGCAAAGGAGTATGAAAAATTAATGATGCAATTACCGAAAATGGAGAGATTATAAATAATAGATTGAATCTTGAACAATTGTAGGATTTGGTTGTGACTTTTCTTCGATGTTTCAATTAAGATTAACTGTGAACTGCAGGCAGGATTTCAGTCGCCTTTTTTAGTATAGACAAACACACGAGGAAAATGTTCATCAAACATCAGCACAGAACTAGTACGCGTAGGAAACACTCCAAAGGACGCTCCTTCACATTCTTCAAAGTTTAGAAATTTAGTACGTTTACCGAGTAGCCTTGGTCGTGACTGTAAAGGGATTTACTTGGGGGGAGGGGGGCTGAAGAAGGGAGCTGGCGGGAGGGAGAAGGGAACAGTTAGATTATAAATTTGAGCATTTGCGCAGGTCGAAGCATATGAAAAAAATATACACACATGAAAACATCACGACTGTCTTTCATAAATTTTACGTTTATTAAATAGCTACCATATAGAAATGCGTTTTTCGTCTTTCAATGATGTCTCGGTTGAAAATGTTTCTCTATTGTTTTGTAATAATTGCAGGAAAACTTCCAGAGCTCATTTTAGACAAGTACTCATCCACCTCTGTTGATTCACAAGTTTTACGCCATTTCATTCAGGACACTCGGGAATAATTACGCAAATCTAAAAAGCTTTGCCCAACCTCATTTGCCACAAAGCTGGCAATAAAAGAAATGAAGCATGTTGTATTCAGTTACCAGCATCGTTTTAAAACCGAAAAATAAACAATGAGCAATCCAGGGACCGTCCTGCTTACTGGCAGGGACTGTCCTACAATATTGATCTGGGCAAACAATAATGTTCTGGGCTTACAATACTGTCCTGGACTCACAAAACTGACCTAGGCTTACAAAACTGACCTAGGCTTACAAAACTGACCTAGGCTTACAATACTGACCTTGGCTTACAATACTTTTCTAGGTTTACAATACTGACCTGGGCTTAAAATATTGATCTGGGCAAACAATAATGTTTTGAGCTTACAACACTGACCTGACCTCACAAAACTGACCAAGGCTTACAAAACTGACCTTGGCTTACAATACTTTTCTGGGCTTACAATACTGAACTGGCTTTACAATATTGATCTGGGCAAACAATAATGTTCTGGGCTTACAATACTGTCCTGGACTCACAAAACTGACCTAGGCTTCAACACTGACCTTGGCTTACAATACTTTTCTGGGCTTACAATACTGACCTGACTTTACAATATTGATCTGGGCAAACAATAATGTTCTGGGCTTACAGTACTGTCCTGGACTCACAAAACTGACCTAGGCTTCAACACTGACCTTGGCTTACAATACTTTTCTGGGCTTACAATACTGACCTGACTTTACAATATTGATCTGGGCAAACAATAATGTTCTGGGCTTACAGTACTGTCCTGGACTCACAAAACTGACCTAGGCTTCAACACTGACCTTGGCTTACAATACTTTTCTAGGCTTACAATACTGAACTGGCTTTACAATATTGATCTGGGCAAACAATAATGTTCTGGGCTTACAATACTGTCCTGGACTCACAAAACTGACCTAGGCTTCAACACTGACCTTGGCTTACTATACTTTTCTGGGCTTACAATACTGACCTGACTTTACAATATTGATCTGGGCAAACAATAATGTTCTGGGCTTACAGTACTGTCCTGGACTCACAAAACTGGCTGACCTAGGCTTCAACACTGACTATGGCTTACAATATTGATCTGGCTTCACAATACTGACCCTTGCCTTACAAAATTGACCTTGGCTTAAAAAATGACCTGTGCTTACAATACTGGCCCTAGCTAGCAATACTGAACTTGGCTTAGAACACTGAGCGTACAGTAGTCCTCCGGGCTTCCAATACTCTCCTTGATTACAATTCTATTGTATACTATACTACAAAACTCACTCTCCTGCTCTCCCTTTCGAGTCTTATGTCACTTGATGGTAGGTGTAAAGAGAAGGGTGTACTACGAGCAGAACAAGTGGAGCCCCGCAAAATTTCTCAAATTATAAGGAAAAAGTTACTCTGCAGTATTAGCAAGGGAGCTTTTTTCCAAAAGAGTTGTGTTCCGTATGATTTATGTAGCATATTTATATGTCTTCAAGTTATAAATTCTTAATTTATGCAGATAACGAAAAAAACAAATGAGCATCATCTCGTCAATAGAAGTGACATAATCTTCTTAAGGATATTCTGAATTAATTGAAAATGTTCATTCGTAAAGAACACATTGTGTTGCATATAATAAGAATCTACCTAGCTCAAAGCCCGTAAAGTATTCTTCAAAGTAGATATCATGCACGACTTGCTTTTTTTCTTATTTTTCAGAACAGCGATGTCGAAACTCTTATATGTTATGCAACTCTTCCATGCAAACAAACGAAGACCCGATCATAAGGAACTATTCCACGCAAACAAACGTGGTCATAATCACCAAAACAACGCATTAGTGCATGTGGAGCACCACAGAGAAATCGCATTGAGACCTAGCGATCAAGGCCAACCGATCAAGGCCAACCGATCAAGGTCACCTTTGCATCAAAGCAGTGCGTGGTTTTGGATTCATGCTTTAAAAACAGCTTGGGGTCAAAGAATCATAAATTATTTTAATTACGCTAGGCTTGTCCTTTGAATGCGTCAATTTTCTTTTTTTGACACAGGTTTATACATCTTAAAATTAGATAAAAATAAGATATTTTCAGAAATTTAGACAACATTAGAAAATTTGTTTCCTCAGAGAAAACAGAATTTTTGCAACTTGTTCTACTATATATTTACATAAATAAAAGTGTTCTTACAAAACAGGAAAGATCCCCAGCGTTCCTTAGTTGTTATTATATAGAATTTAACAGAAGTTTTAGGAGTATAAAGTCCAAAGCTTTTGGACAACGTGATCGAAAAATAAGCTTTTACTAAAGAAAATCAGTTTTGGAATAATTTTGCGAATGAACAATGCTTTACAGACAGACTGAACACGTCGACAGAGGGTTTTGTTGGGTTATAGTGAAAAGAGGATGTTGGTATATTGTAGTTCCAACGTAAACGTTAGACAAACAAATAGGAGCAAAAACGCAAGACTCTATGTTCAGTTTTGTGAAGAATACAGGACGATTCTAAGTTGCAACTCCAGGTTCACACATAATGCAATCATAACCCTTTGTGATTTGGAATGGTGGAGGCTCATCAGTATTGTCCTGTCTGTGAATATTTAACGAGCGGGATTTTAATATTCAAAAAGCAAGGCAGACCAGTATGGACATTTGGACACAATCTCGCTTGGGAAAGATAAAAATGTCTACGGGCATGTCAAATTTCTCAAGTCTCCAAAGACTTTGGGAATCTTGAAACAAGATATTATGCATCTGGTAAAGAAATTTTTTCATAAAAAGAGCCGTTGACAATTTGTTCGCCATCGTTGTTCGGTTTTGAAAAGCCTTAAGAAGTTACTGAAGATAACGCGAAATTTTACTGTGAAGATTGTCGTAAATGTCTGCTACATTGCGAAGCAAAATCATGAATCTAAGTGTTTTATGACGCGTAAATCATTAAAAATGAGAGTGCAATTAGTAAAAGACGTCAGACAGAAACATCTGTTCAAGCTTTCTCTTAAGAATACCGCTCAAAATACAACACAACTTGAAATACCAAAAGCTTCTGTTAGTGTGCCTCTTCGAGAACGAGAAAAGCGCAAAATTGATTGGCAGTTCGTGTATGGAACCTGCTATAAATTTCATATGTACGAAACGGGCTAATCTTTGAGGCCTAACATTCACCCTTTCTATTCTCAGTTTGGTCGAAGACATCTTGACAAAGACATTGACACAGATATGGCAAACAGCTTTACACTTAATGTAGTTGCTTTAAACCTCTTATAGTGAGTTTTACTTCCACTGGCAGACACACATAATGTCCCGCTTTTCAAGCTTGTAGATTTTCTCAATTATTTGGCTAAATAGTAAATAGCTGCTCAAAGAGACGTTTTTCGTTGGTTGGTTACACTACACTATTCTTCCATGGAAATTTGCATAACCTAAAGTTCCGAACAAACTAGGGAACATTGCCATACGACATCAATTTTTCACGAATATTTCACAAAATTGTTGCTAGTTCGACCACCATGTCATATGACAAAGTCGACCAAACAATTGTCACAACAATGTTTGAGGGTCGTCACACAATTCGTGTGAACAAGTCAAATAAATGAAAAGTAATTTTCGTTAATGTAACAATGTCTTATGACAATTTTTTCTAGTTTGGCTGGGGCTTAAAAGCACTATGTCTCGACAGTCAACCGTCTAGAGTTAACCGTCTAGAGTTAACCGTCTAGAGTTAACCGTTTAGAGTTAACCGTCTAGAGTTAACCGTCTAGAGTTAACCGTCTAGAGTCAACCGTCTTGAGTCAACCATCTTGAGTCAACCGTCTAGAGTCAACCGTCTAGAGTCAACCGTCTAGAGTCAACCATCAAGAGTTAACCGTCTAGAGTCAACCGTCTAGAGTTAACCGTCTAGAGTTAACCGTCTAGAGTTAACCATCTAGAGTCAACCGTCTAGACTTAACCGTCTAGAGTTAACCGTCTAGAGTAAACAATAGGCTTTGCAGCGTGATAATGATCGAGAAAACATTGCGAATCAGCCATACGTTGCCAATTGGGTACGCAGTCCAACCAATGGAAAAATTAACTGGCCAGCAAAATGCTCGGGACCTAGTGCTTTTAAGTATTCTTTGATCTAAATTGACTTAAATACTCTTTGATCTAAACTGATTTTACGAAAGGAAATTTTACAAACTCTGCACGGCTAGCTTCCTTTCCTGATAAAAAAGTCAGGGCTGTTGCATATATTTTGCAAAATACCAGTTTTCGAACAAAATTCCAGCTACTTTAATCTAGAAATTTCCATTAACGTCACTTTGATAAATAGTGATTCAGCTTCAAATATGTCGCGTAATAACAGTACGATTATCTCGCAAGTTCAATCATGGAAGTAAATAAAAGGTTTCTAGTTACGTCAGTTTCAAGTATAACTTCGAAAAATAAGCCTTTGAATGTCGTTCATGAACAAAGTCATTTCAGAGAGATTATACTTGGGTTATTTCCAGGCTTTTCTACAAACAAAAACCATCCTTTGCGTACAGCTTATCACTTGGAAAAGCAATTTGGAAAAACGAATGATAAAAATCTCAGCATAAATTCTCAACACTTTATTGGTGGGCTTTTCCGTAACACTAATCGTGAGAAGAATCCAGATGGAGTTTTAGCCAAAGCTACAGTTTTATTGCACGGGCCTTATCTTGGACGACTCAACAGTATCGACTATGAATGACTATTATGTGACTGGAAAAGAGTTCTCAGACAGTTTGAAATTGCTGACATCATAAAAGATCAAATCTAGCAGTTAATCAATGTCGGAAAAAATTGTAGTTTGTCTTCGCCTTGACAGGCAGTTGAAATGTATGTAAACCTAGTGAGTTCTTCTCTCTTAAAAATGGCATCCCCAGCCTGAAGTGTCTGAATACATAACTGAAATCTTCTTTGCTAGCTTAATAATAAGTCGCTGATGGCAATATTTCTCCGAAGGAGGAAAATACAAAACAATTCAGGTTTTAGCTGTAAGCAGCTTATGCTAACCCAAAATATAATATTTCTTCGGAAAAAAATTGAAGATTTCAAATTAAAGCATGTAGGCCATACAATGGGTTTAAGGGGAGTCATGCATTGCTGGTAAAGAATTGAAAGAAGCTTACTGAAAGTTGATTTATAGCGGATATTGGTAAACCTAAGAACCTGTTGGGAATATACCGCCAAATGTAGCGACATCTGAAGGGAACTCTGCACAAAGGTGCTACATTATACTGCATGATTACGCATCATACTCCGTTACTTCCAATAAAGTATTTCCTTTAGCAAAGGCCTAGCCTCCAATATATGCCCCTCCTCCTAATAACCCGCTCGCATTTTCCACAAAATGAATATATAAGAATCCCCTATCAATTTAATGCCCACCTCGTATAAACGCCGCATGCATTAAAACAGCCCTATATAAGGAAAGTCGAGGAAAGGCAAGGAGGGCACAGTAAGTTTTTCAGGCTCGCTATTAATCTAAATGCTTGCATAATGGAAAGAAATATGGTATATTTTTGGATTTCCTCATCTTTGCGCACATTGAAACTCAAAGAGCCCCAACCCTTTTTCGTTTCTCAATCTTTACACTCAAAGTCATTGCAATCAAGAGTAGTAGGGTATGTCGTCAAGAACAGTAGCATATAAATACCTCCCTTTATTAAACGCCTCGTCCTTTTAATCACCGTATTAAATTCCTCAATTTCAATTACAGCCGGGCGAGTCACAAGCAATCAGTTTCACAAAGAAACATAAACAAGCTATAGGCAACGAAAAATGAATTGAACGGTAAATGGTGGCAGATTTGGGTCTGGTGGAAATCATTTTAAAAAAAGCACTGTATCGATCAGGCCTTCTCTACGAGCCTCTGTATCGAAATTGCCTCACTTTACGGACGTATTGTCTGTGGACAACAAGAGCACCAGTCAAGCATCTTACGAGCTAAAAACAACTATCGTACTTAAAAATCATTATTTTCAGCATCAACTGAGCTTTAATCGAATTAAGAAAATATGTTGAAATCGAACCTGTTTTCTGCAATAAAATCGATCAGCCATTTCTTCATGATGTACATATGAGAATCCACAAGGTCATTTTGAATCATCATTGAAGGGTACCTGATGGACGAAAGTTCCGAAGAATTAAATCAACTATCAAATTAGATACAAGCTTACGTTTCAGATATCTGTGAAAATTAAAAAGCTTGTAGGTGCAAGGAATTTACTTTTGATAGCGAAAAACCACTTTAGCCAAGGATAAAAGCCATCAGGGCAGCCATTTTTAAGCTTACGTCTGGTTGCCGCGCCGCTATACCATTAAATGTAAATATCTACCAAGTAGTTATCAGGGAATTGTTTATCATACTAGAGCAGCAACTGCCTCTCCAGCCCCACTGATTTTCTATTGTTTTAAACTAGAGGCTTTTGTCCTTTTCTTTATATAACCAAAGGCTTGTCCCCACAGCTAGTTTCCCTTCAAATAGGCTATAATAATGAGTGTTCTTTCTTCACTGCGCTTTTCACGAGTTAGAAGTGAAAAGAACACGAAAGGCGGATAAATATGCAGCCTGGATGTATCTCACAGTTCTTTTTGCTTAAGCGACAGCAGACCTGCTAGCAAAGCAAAGATTGATTATACAGAAAGGTACCTTTTCAATAAAGACTTTTTTATCGAAATGCTATCAACATCTAAATCAGCTTCATTAAGCATGAACAACAGTCGATCTTCTTGTCGGTCAATGGAGATGAAGTCTTTCTGTCCTACGAAAAAACCATTAATTGCTTCTTGAGAACTTTACAGACACTAGATCAGAAATTCATGGTTTTCTGAAATTCATATCCTCGGAGCCAATTCTCATTTCAGGTATTACAGAGTTCTCGAAAACGCCATCGAGAAAGCTAGAGATGACGCTTTGGAACATTCAGTTGCATGGTATAAGCAATAATAATAGATCTGATAATAGGAATACTAGGAGAACAGGCTTTGCACTTGTCAAACACCCCAATGGATATACAACGTAGTAGCGCACCTACGTATGCAGTAACTAGAGGTTGAAAGATGCAATTTAGGAGCCGAAAGTCAAAGGATTTGGACTTCACCGCCCTTTTAAGTTTTTAAATAAGGCCTAAATCTTCTTGAACTTTAAGTGTGTATTGTCGCCATCATGGTCGGTGTAAGTTGTTCATTATGACCACAAAGATATGCTCTTGACGAATTATTCAGGTTTGTAGCAGTTATAGCTACGTCTCTACTTGCTTTCTAAATACTGGACAAAAGCACAACTGACCATGAACTTCTAAAACATCTGTCTATAAAAACAAGTTTATTCGTGATTCGAAACCACTGAATAGAAAAGATTTCATGAAATAGAAACCTTGCTCGTTATCCTTGGTTTTTATTTTGCCACCTTTATTAGCTTCCTTTTCTTGCTGTACTTCGACACGTGGCGCCATCAGGACGCTCAGGGTTGCGTCATGAGTCCGGTGAACATCTGCCAAACGGTGAAATGGCACGTCTGTTATCAAATCGCAACTTACAATAATGGTATCAGTCTGGGAAAAAAGAAAAATGCTAATTCAGGTTTCTCCTTATAGATTCGTTATCAACTTTTAATTTCTTATAACTGGGTGTGGGTGGATGTTTCTATCGAAATTTTCACCAGACATCTCAAAAATATAACAACCTCAGCAAACAAGACGGAACTTATTTTAGTTTTTCTGATAGTAACTGAATTCAAAGCGCATTATGTTGGTTCTTTGCTTTCATGTGGATACATGTGGCTTTATGCATATTTGTATGCATCACATCACTGATGTCCATAAATTACACAACAAATTCATTGATTCCATAACAATACACTATGTTGGGCTAAAGACCTTTGTGGCTAAACAGTTATGTGCATAATAAAATATCACATGTATGTTGCCTAAATAGTTTTAGGTTGTCTTTCAGTTTTAGGATTCATTCATTTTTATGGCATCTCTTAATTTGAATTTCTTGGTGGAGAGCATTGAAAACCTGTTTCCCAATCTACGAAAATCCCTCCTTTTCTTTTGAAATAAACATACAGTACTGACAGATTACTTGGGACCACATGTCATTTATAAATGATGAAGAGAACACAAGGGTACACAAACTATGCAGAAAACTTCAAAATTCTCAGAAGTTTGAACTATGAAGTTCAAGTTGTAGTACTTTAATATCTTATTGAATAATTAAAAGAATAAAATAACTAACTTACCTCAATTTTATCTTTGATAAATTTTAGTGACTCTGCAGTTCCTAAATCTTCATCGTCAGGAATCGTTACAAAATTAAACTTTATTTTCTTGTCACAACATGGTTTCAAAGCTTGGCTGAACATGTTTTCTTTTGACCTCAGGACCACAATGATAAATTCTAAAACATAACAAGAATACATAGCAAATTATTTTTAACCCAATGTGATGTAGACAGCAAAAGACTTTTAGCCGATGCTAGCCCTTCTTTAAATCAATGGAAAACAATGGATTCAGACAAATTTACAAAAATAAAACAAAGCAAATTATGAAGCACTAAATGGTCGAAAAGGTTAGAGAAAGATGAGAAGATAAAGTTACAGGTTCAGATTTTGAACCTATATGATGTTGTCACAGAGGTTGCCTATAAGATCTAAAGGTGACCAAAGGTTTTTTAGTAACGACTTAAGCTTCAAAAGGGATTCCTTGAATTAAGGCCTTGCATGCACAGACACATTGAAAGCAGGAGCCTTTAACAGGTATCCCAAATCAAAGTCCATTCAATGTTCCAAAAGTATGCTCATCTTTATTTCCTGGCAACAATGGGCTTTTAAAACCTGTTTCAAGAGAGGGCTGCATGCACTCCTGGGTGCAAATCATTTCTCCGGCCTCACAGTGATCTCATGCTACTGAATGGCCATTCAAAAACCCAAGCAAATACATTCAGAATGGCTTTGCTTATCTTTGTGACTGCTGGCTGCTGCGCTCAATGGAAAAGAAAGAGGATTAAAAAGCCTCTGACATTTGCTGCTAAAACAAGATCAAGGGTGGCAATGTTTAACTGATTTTTTACTTTCACTGTCAGCAAATGCTTCTTCACACATTAAGTAACAACACCAGTGCAACGATCAGTAATTATTATTTACATCAAAAGTTCCATTTTAGAAAATCTTAAAATCATATGTTTTAAAAGCAATGGGTATCAATGATTACCTTGAATACCTAACAGCACCACCTCTATTCGAACCCACTATGAGAATCCATGATTAGGAAAAAACTAAGCAAAGCTTTAGGTCCTTTTGTCACCTACACTTGACAGTTCATGAAGCAGTTGGCAATGCAGATTCATAATTCTTAAGTATCAGTTTCCAAAAATCGATCTTTTTAGAATCCATCTCAAATGGAAATCCAAATTCTATGCAACCCCTTAATATCTTAGTAGCTTAGCCATTGGCAATGGTAGCTTAGCCAGCTGTATTCAGCAAACTGGCACTTAAAATTCCAAATACTTAGAGAAAATTTAAATGAATCATTCATTTATAACTAAATGACAAATTTCTTAAAAAAAGAAATGAGTAAAGATAAATGGGTTGAATAAAAGGGACCTGTGGAAAACTAATAATTTTGGTGTTTGTTAGAAAAAGTCCAAAGGTTTCATATGTTTTAATTTCAGCTACATTCAGAATTTTAACTAAAAATCTCTTTAAACTCAAAATTTTCCAAACACAATCACACTTAGTTCATCACATTGATAGATAGATAGGAGCTACAAATGAGATGTATTTTTTACAAACTTCCAGACAGAACTAATTTAACAAACAGATTCAAAATGACAGATGACATCTAGCTAAAATCTATATTCAAATACGTTAAGATATTTCTATATTCTAATAAGATATAATGCCAAAAACTTGAAAGTTAATCAAATGATGTAATAGAAAGTTACAGAAATAGTCAAACCAGCAAGGGAAATCTTAATCATTAAAATATTTTGAACAGAAATTGCATGAGCTTTATAGCTACCATCTGCCAAACAGAAGCATGGTATTATGCAGAGAAATAAAAAAGAGCAAAATCAGGCCAATATGCTGGATTGGAGCTTAGAGGAAATATCCATGTCAGAGATTTCTAGCATAACAGGCAAAGAATCTGCCCTGAAAGAGCTCCTCTTAGCTACCTTTCGGGTAGATAGCCGAGTCAAAAGAAGATGGCATATGCTGGCGCACGTACAGTTACTCGATATAAGTATAGTATTGTGCACCAAATTTTGAAATTTCTCAATGAAATCACAATGGAACTTTTGTGGATAAACTGATGTTTCCACGCAATACGACAGGTGAAAGGAGGTTTGTATGCGTAAAAACTTGCCTGAAATGACTGTGCGTCTCGCGCGAGATCTTGCTTAGAACTGCCGTACTCAGCAAACTTATTTGGATCAGTTGAAAAAGGCAAAATAATTTCGTTTTAAACCTACAAACATACCATCAAATCCATGTTTATGGAGATTGTTTATTGGATACCAAATTAAAGGCAAGTTGCCAACAGGGAGTAATGCTTTCGGTATCTCCTCGGTAAGTGGATACATTCTGGAGCCACCTCCAGCAGCAAGAATTACGACTTGAAATTCTGGTATCATTTTCTGCTTCTGTTTTATTCAAATCTAGATAATTTCAAGCGACTAAAAGCAATAAGTTAAACATGTGTCTAGATCTAGGCCTTGTTCTTTCTTTTACTTCCACCATTTAATTTTTCAACTCGAGGCTATCCTCGTTTTTAGCGAAACGCATTGCCCATTTGCAATATCATTGTCACTTTCAAAACTTTTCCCAGAAATTATTTTTTATCAACTGATATTGTCGTAGTATAAATTCCATACCTTTTTTTCTATGTTGCCAATTTCTTTTTTGCTAGTCTATCAATTGATCGCTAGAAAATTGGAAAAAATGTTTGCCCCACATGACAACAACCCATTAGAAGCTAGGGCACTTTTGCAGGACGATGAAGTGTGCATAAAAAAATTGATTGCTATTTGTTCTTCCATCCTCCGAGTGTCTGCAGATGCAGAGCAAGTCAGATGCATAAACGGCATACCTCTTCTACCGAATTTATTCAGTTACGATTTCAGAGCAACAATTAAATCCTAAATTTAATTTCCCACCATGCGCATTCTATTAAGTGGGCAGTGATAATTTCTGAAAAAATCTCTGGTGTGCAGCTTCCACAATTTGCAACCAGGCAGTACTTTGCTTGGGCCAGTCGGAAATATCTTTTATAGGATAGGAGATGGTTTACCCGAAGGTACCAGAAGATCTAGCAGTCTAGCGGCATTACTGAAAATGGCTTGAAGCCACTTTGTTAAAGGCAATTGGCAGATACAAAGTAGCTTAAACCATCTGTCAGTCAAAAAACTGGCCAATCAGTGAGCGTGATACCACTCACACGCTTGTTGATTGGCAAATATTGATTGACAGGTGGCTTAAGCAACTTGAGTATCTCTCGATTGCCTTTAAACTTTGAGTTATTATTAAAGACGCATCAACACAAAATTTCGATCCCTGAAAATAGCATCGGGCATTTGGTCATTTGAATTGGGACCAAGGTCCTGCCAAAAATTCATTTACATACTTTGTTACTCATACAGGCAGTGGCGGATTTGATGGAGGCAGTTGCCCTTCCCTCACTGAGTTGAAGTAAGTCTGGTGCCCCTTTTTGGAAATGGTTTGGTACAACTATTATGAAAATTTCCTTTAGAAGGTAAATAGAGAGCCTTCTGTCAGTAGTTGAGGTCTGAAATTGTTGTATACAGCGTACACTAGTTACCATTTTCTGAAAATTTTTCAGCACCCTTAATACCAACTGCCCCTTCTTCAAATTTGTTCTGGATCCACCCCTTGCATGCAGATTACGAGAAACAAGCGAGAGAAAATAGTACGATTGATTTTTTTTGTAACCTAGTATTTTTACAGTCCGAGGGTCATCAACAAACAATCGATTGATCATTTGATATCCGAAAATAATCATGAAGGCTCTCGGTCGATGGGGAATTTGGGCACAAGTCAAGTTTCAGTGCTTATAGGTAACGGCAGCTAACGTCGATGAAAGAAAAAAAGGTTGCATAAGAACAAGAAAGAATTTAATCAGTCAAAAAATTAAGTTTCAAACCGCTTTGAACCGGCCTCGTCTAGGCCTACTAGATAGCAGACGCGTTACAAAACGAAAATTATGGCATTCAAAACTATGATACAATTATATTACTCGCTAACTCTCTCTGGTGAAAGCTTGTCCGGAATAGAAAATGTTTTTTCAGTGTTCTCGCGCCATGTTCCTTCCAAACTGGGTTGTTTTTACTTTTCAGCGTGACGATAATCACTCGCTCGTTCAATTTTTCTGGTATCGGTTTCCGACGACATCGCCGATATTCGAGCTCGCAGACACCCGCACCCTTGCTCATTTAAACTTTCTTCCCTAAATTTGACCCCCTTTCTGTATTTAAGGCAACATTGAGCCTTTTGTGATTGTCTTCCATATCATTCACACTCGTTGATACTGAACAACTTCAGTAAAACATCAATGACAACACAATGGAGATGAATTAGCGAAGGCCTGTTCCCCAAAAGTTATGGGGAATGAGAAAAAGTCGTCCTTGACGTGATTTCATATTTTTGAAAGTGTCACCACGTACCCGAAAGTTTTTCAAAGGCGTTGGGAGCACGGGCTAGAATTGCGTTTCGATACTGCAAAAGAATTTAGCCTAAAATTTGATTTATTAAAAACTATCTACCTTTAACGAGCATTTCCCAGCCAAGATCTTCAAAATTTATATCAATGCTTCCAGCTTTTTAGCTTCGTTATGAATAGAGATAATACATTTTTGTATTTTTGACGAAACATCTCTTCTTAAGGTATATAAAAAGATCTTGCAATATCTTAATATCTGTGACCTCAACTTGCTGAATATCTTAATATATTTTTGCAATATCTTAATATCTGTGACCTCAACTTGCTAAATAAACATGACATTATCTTCCAAATTCAAGCCTTAATGCATTTGACTTCTTTCTCGAGTCATTTCATTGATATCAAATCATTTCTTAGTTTTCAAATGTTAGCAGTAAGCTTTAATTTGATATATTCTGAACGGGAAATTACTTTCTTTGCCTGTTTGTTTGGGTATCTGCTACAACGCGGCCTTCAAAAACAAGCTCCAACTCAGCTAAAGTTTTTTTCGAATTTTGACTCCTCGTTTGTAATGGTCCGGAAAAAGCTTGCTTACAAAACGAAGAGACTTTGAGGTAGGCCAATAAAAACAAAAAAAATAAGGTACAAATCCCAAATCACAGAAAGGGTTGTCAAATTTTGATGAAGTTTTTCGGTGGAATTCTGAAATCCGTTCTTGAAATTCTAGTGTCAAGGACAGGACTGGTGGCAAAACCTCTTTCACCTAAAAAAGAACCATTGTTTTATGCTTGTGGGAACGGACATAAAGTTCCCAAGCGCCTTATTGCTGTAAATTCTGACAATTTTAATTAAAACCTGCTTACCTGATCAATGACAGAAGGCAGCTGGTTTCTGCAAATATATTTTTAGATAAATTTTCTTACTGAAAAGACCTTAAAATCAGCCATAATAATAATCTAAAATGGAGGAGAGTGAAACTAGAACTAAGGAAGTATTGCCAAAGTCTCATATTTGAATTTTATTTGCGTTAGCCACTGTTTGCAAAGGCCTTCCATAGGCACTGGCTATCAGCTGGATCTTCTTCGATTTTAAGATTTTAATAATTTCAGAAATTAATTTGAAATCGATGTTTTGATTCAACTTTATACACAATACTAAATCTTTTCAGGAGCTTGAAATACAGGAATATGATCAGTCCAACTCATCACAGCGCACTCAATTGTGGTGATTTCTGGAGATCCAATCAGTTACAAATCAGATTTCTCACCTGTCAACATGTCTTTTTGCTAAAAGCTTTTGCCTGTAATTCGTTAGCTTTAAGACCGAGTAGTAGCTAGAATTGTAGGTTGTAATCTTTTGAAGTCTCTTCAATGCAAACATTGTTTAGAATTTGTTCATGCTGTTACGTAATCATTTCTATTAGCAATTATATGAAATATTTGTTGGCTTAACTATTTGATACTGGAAATCGATTTCACTTCGACAACCAACCTAAGCGACGATTCTTTAAAGAATCACTTGGGGACATAAACTTGCTGGCTATACTAGTAAGGATTAAACAACTTGCAAGAATTGGCTTGGTGAAAGTATTACTTTGGAATATAATAAAATTTTGAGTGTGTTAGCCACGCAATTCTATTAATTTTCTAACTGCTAAAGTCTTGAATAAAAAATATTCCATTGATTAAATTAAAGGACATCAGATCGCTCGTTTATCTGATGTGAAATCTTGGGGCTGGAGAACCATGGTGGATGGAGCGTAATCGCAAATTTAATCGTAGGTACAACACATGAAATATAGAAGAGAAGGTCGTAGGTTTTGTTGATCTTTAAATCCATTCTAATCCCAACAGCTGCTCGAATCTGCATAACAGCAAGCAGTCATTGAATGCATAGGGAGATGAGAGCTTGGGAATATAGTAGGTTGCGCTCAACAAGTGCTGGCAGATTACATGCTTACCAATCTGCTATGCAACTGTACAGCTGCTCTACACAGATTTGAAAACGGCCAAACTAACGGAAACATTGATTTACATGCTAGTTTTGTAGGTTTATTCCGGGAAAAGGATGGAATCGACACTTCATAAGATCTTGGAAGCGTTTGGGATATCATCCAGCAAAGAAAGGGTCGTTCGTGAACCCTTCCTGCCAAACATAACTGACTTTTACCCAAAGAGATCAAAAAGCGAAGGTGAGCGTTTGGTGGGGACATATGCGACTATACTTCCTAGTACAAGAGAAGAGTCTTACAGTGAAGTTCATTTGGATAAATTGCCCTTGGCTAGTAAAACCGAGCGAGCTTCAAAGAAAGATTGTCAGGAATATCGTGGTCATAAAATGGATGTTGCAGAAGCAAATGGAAATCGCCAGTCAGCAGCTGCGAGAACGCGCAAATACGGCGTCTTTGGGAGGTTTTACCCGCGAAGCTTCAGCTTAGAAACTGATGTATCAGCAAAGCGGTCAAGCAAAGACAATGGCACAAGAAACGATAATTCGTCTTTGTCGGAAAGATTGCCCACAAGGAGTTCTAGTCTGGATATCGAGGTAGGAAAATCAAGCTTGCCAGACGACTGTTCAGATACACCAACAGCTACAGAGAGTGAAGAGGTTTCAGGTAATTGCGATTCTCCATACGTTTCAAAAAACAACAGTTACGAATTTAGAAATTCAAAGCACAGTGTTTACATTAGTAGAAACCATTACAGTGCTGGTGGCAGTAATGATGTTAATCGCATTAACAAAAGCAATTATGATGGTTATTATGATGTAAAAGTAGATGGCTTTAATGATAACGATGGTACTGCGAAAAGACAAGGGTTTTCTGACCCCAACAAGCAAAGAAACAAAAACGGGCATCGCCCAAAGTTGAATATTAAAGAAACCCAAGCAAGAAAAAGTGCGTATAACGGTGCCAAGGAATACTGTGCTTTCGAAGATCGTGGATCAAAACATTTCTGCCGCAAAACAGACGTCAGTCTTGCCAGAGACTACGGGGGTTTCACACTAGAAAAAAAGCGATCAAGATCGGAGGAAGTTCACATCGAAGCAGGTAGTGCATCAAGTATAATCTGGAAAAAC